CGGGGCCAGGACTGCAGGGGCCGCGCCTCGGCCTCCTCCAGGATGGTGGCTCTCATGGCGCGACACCACTTACCGCTGAGGAGCCTGAGGTCCCCCAGGCTCACCAGCGAATCGAGGCGACCTGAGAGCAGGGTTAGGAGCGCCCCCAAGCCCAACACGTCCCCAAGGCTGGGGCCAGGGCCCAGCCAGCCAGCCTGCACCCTCCCTGCCTCTGTGGGCTGCCCAGATCCCAGCTCTGCCCCACCAGCCAGGGGCAGTGGGGCATTAGGCCACCTCCGACACGGCCTCCTTGTCCCCTTTGGACAGTCGGGCCCCGGCAGAACCCAGTTTTTGCTCAGTGAGTGAACACATGCCTAGTTACATGGCCTGCGCAGTAGCGAGCAGGTCGGCTGAAGTGGAAAGCGACACTGCGGGCCTGGGCGTGCAGGACACAGCTGACACCAGCCTGGGCACCGGGCTGGAAGTTGGGCAGCAACGGGAGTCACTGCAGCGGCACTGTGGTCGAGCGCTGGACAGATTGTTCTCCTCATCCTTCAAACGTTCTTTAATTGCATGTTTTTAGTTGCTTTGCTCTTGTTGCTGAGACAAAATGCACAACACCTGGCGTTAAAGGGGGAGAGGTTTATTGGCTCACGGCCTGTAGGTTTCAGTCCATAATCGCCGGCTCCGAGGCTGGGCGCTTGGCAGAGGGGCCACAGTTCATGGAGGCAGAAGAAAGCAAACACAGCAAGGACCATAATGGTGTCTTTCTGCCCCTGAATCTTATCCAGGCTCCCAGATCAGGGTGGTGCCAAACCTACCAGTGCAGTGGTTTAATAATCACACTCCTGTGCCCCAGCATCACACACTAGAGTCAGGCACCTCTGAAAAGCCACCTGGGACAAGTAAGGTTTCAGGGGGACATCTGGGCACAGCCGTAACACCTGTCACACACTCGTGAAAGGGACATTTTCCAGGGATCCTAGCATCCAGCGGCGCCCGTGGCACCAGGTGACTTGGCCCCAGCAGCGTCTTCTAAGATGGGGACACAGTGCCCAGGCTCCCCTCCCTCCACCCTGCGTTTGCCCCACAGAGCCTCCCAGCTTCCCCTGATACCACCCACCCGGCCGCCCTCAAGCTGTGCCCTTTACCCCTTGACCTCCGGTGCCCCCACCTCTCCTTCCCCTGGGGGCAGAGCTGGTCTCCCCAGAGCCTCCGGGGCCCCCACAGGGACAGCCCTGTGCCTCTCCCGTTCCCTGGGTAGAGCACAGATGAGACCCGCAGGAGGGTGGTACAAGCCTGTAACCCCAGGACGCTGGGAGGCCGAGGCAGGGGCTGGGTGGGACGGGCCGGCACCACCTGGCAGAGGCTCAGCCCGGGAGCTGCAAGTTCCTTGCACTTGCTGCCTTCAGAGAGGGCATCCATACCCTCGGGACGCATTTCTGTCCCAATGCGCTGCCCAGGCGGCCCTGGGTCACACCTGCCGTAGTTCACTGTGCCCACTTAGTAAATGGGAGTGGCTGCTCCTGACAGGACTCAGTTTCTGCCTCAGAGTCCAGAGACACACAGCCCTCCCTCCTGTCACACGAGGGCCCCCCAGGCCTCTAAGAAAATGCAGTTTTAAGCATGTTGTAAGGGTTATAATTTTACATTTGGGGGCTGGGGATTTAGCTCAGTGGTTTTACTGCCTGCCTCACAAGTGCAAGGTCCCAGATGTGATCCCTGGAACCAAAATAATAATACTAACAATAATGATTATAATTATTATAATAATTTTACATTTGGACGGGGAGTCAAATACTTGTCTTTTTTCTAATGAAATTATAGGAAATAAAGCTGGCGCAGCCCGAGCTAGCGGAGCCACAGCCCCCATGGCAGACAGTAGTGGACGGGACTGGGGATGGACCCGAGGCTTAGGGTGCTGTGGGGTGGCTGCTTCAGCCATGCAGACTCATCCATCTTGACAGGCGGCCCCTGGGGTGGGGCTGGAGCCTGGAGCCTGGTCCAGGCATGGCAAGGGGCCTGCAGCAGCTGCTGGGCCAGGGCCAGCCAGGGCCACCTCCCCTCCTGGGTTACGCCACCCTCATCTGGCCGCCATGACTAAGGCGGGCACGGGGCAGCGTGCAGCTGTTTGTGGAGGAAATTCCCTGCGATCGCTATCGCTGCTCTCTCAGAAACACGCACACATCCCAGTTAATCGTGTGGAACACAACAGAGACCATTATGGCCTCTCTCCTGATTATAAAAGTAATGTACAGTGCAGACTGCTCAGTGAAAGTCAACCAGAAGCGAACAAAATGGCCTTGGGGACATCTGTTGTGTGCACTCCTTGATGACAGTAAAAAAGCAATCCACGTCTCGGGTGTGTGAAGACAGCTGGGCCGGGCTGTCCTGCTCCTCCTCAGGTGACTGAGCGAGGTTCACCCCTGCACTCACGCACTGGCCAAGTCCATGTCGCGTGTCCGCTTTGCCATCATGGACCCAGGAAGTGTGGGGTGGGGTGTGTGGCAGGTGGAGAGCCCCTGACCGCTGCCCACGCTGGCAGGTGCTAGAGCTCGGCCGCGATGCCACACGCCGCTTCTTCAACTGGTTCTACTGGAGCATCAACGTGGGGGCCGTGTTCGCGCTGCTGCTGGTGGCCTTCGTCCAGCAGAACGTCAGCTTCCTGCTGGGCTATAGCATCACCCTGGGCTGTGTGTTCCTGGCCTTCTTCATCTTCCTCTTCACCACCCCAGCCTTCGTCTCCAAGCCCCCCATGGGCAGCCAGGTGTCCTCCATGCTCAAACTGGCGCTGCGCAGCTGCTGCCCCCAGCTGTGGCAACAACGCTATGCCAGGTGCGGGGGCTGCCAAGCCTCGGGGTGCCTGGCTCTGTGAGCCGCTGTCCAGGACCCTGGCTGGCCGCTGTGGCTGGGGTCTTACTTCCCCAGGACCCAGAGGGACCACAGCTGTCTCAGTGACTTCCCTCCTTGCTGGGACCCAGATCAAAGGAGGAGGGGTTATTTAGGCTCACAGTTTGTAGAGTTTCAGTCCTTGGTCAGCTGGCTCCATGGCAGGGAGGCCTGGCACAAGGGCCTGGCAAGGAAGAAATAGCTCAGAGCCTGGCAACAGGAAGCACAGGAGAAGGGAGGTGCTGGTGGGAGGAGCCCTTCCAGTCACACCCCAGTGACCACACCTCCCGGCAGGCCCCACTCCGGGCAGCGGGGCAGGGATGGCGGAGGACTGGTGCTCCCGGGAGGGGTCCCAGTTAGGGACAACGGACAGTGGGGTAAAGCAGCAGCCCTGGGATGGGGTGATGCCACTTGCTGCCCCTGTGGCCCCACAGAGACCCCCGAGGCGCTCACCTGCTGCCTGACCAGAGGGCTCCCCAGCCTGGTCCTTCCCCACAGGAGGACGTCGCCAACTTCCAGGTGCTGGTGAAGATCCTGCCCGTCATGGTGACCCTGGTACCTTACTGGATGGTGTATTTCCAGGTGAGCGGGGGGCAGAGGGAGCAGCTGCTGTGTCCTGGCAGTGGGGAGCCCTGGAGAGGCCCCTCCCAGCTCCTCCCCAGACTCCCCCTGCTCTGGGCCTCAGTTTCCTCACGTGGACGGCAGGGGCTCAGTCGCCCAGTGCTCTCCCTAGAGCCCCGATGCAGCACACAGGCCCGGGCATGTGGGGCCAGCCCAAGACAGCACAGGGACATGGGGTACACGCTTCCTACTGGTTGGGAAGTGGTGGCCCCGGGGCAATGTGCCCTGCCTGGCCCCTGCTGGGGGCCCCAGGCCCCTCTCTGTGACCCGCCCAGCACAGCACAGCCTGTCATGTCTCCCCACGTGCACCTCCCTGGCCTGACACACCAGCTGCATGGCCCTGAGACATCATAGCCCCCAGCCCTGAGGAGGAAGTGGAGGGGCCTCCCCGAGGCCTGGTGCCGGCTCCTGGGAGGGTGGCTTCCCCTCCTGTCCCTCCAGCCTCTCTCCCTCTCTGCAGATGCAGTCTACCTATGTTCTGCAGGGCCTGCACCTCCACATCCCCAGCATCTCCTCCGACAGCCACACCAACTCATCCATGGCCCTGAGGGCCTGGGGCAGCGGCTACAGGGTGAGCACAGCTGCTGGGCCCCTCCCTCACGTCCCGGACTGAGGTGCTTGGGACCCACCCTGAAGGCAGGGAAAGCACAGCACCATAGCCCAGGCATCCTGCTGAGGCACTTGGCCACCCAAGGGCCCAACAGCCCCCCGCGCCACGTGGCTCTGGGCAGCCCGTCTCGGAGCCCACACGGGCCCTGCTCAGCCTTTGGGACCATGGATGGCCAGATCTCTTCCTTCTGCCGGAACGTCCTACACCAGCTCCTTGACACTTCATTCTGCTAAAACTGAAGCCCTTCAGAGCTGGCGGATAAATAACACTTGGGCCACTCTGTTTGTTTCTATGTCCATGGCAGACGTCACTAATCACTCCTAATGCATTCATGCTGAGCCTACAATGTCCCAAATGGCCACTATCGCTTGACAGAGGCAGGAAGCACCGACCGCACCCCAGTCTGATCCCATGCCCTGGTCATGCAGTTGAGGAGTGTGGGTTCCAAAGTGGGGGGCTGACTCTGGGTCCCCAGGGACACCTGGAGTCAGATGCCAGGGCCCAGCCTTGCTCCTGGCTCCTCCCACGCAGATCCCGGAAGCCTGGCTCCTGCTGGCCAACGTGGTGGCTGTGCTCATCCTGGTCCCCCTGAAGGACCGCCTGCTGGACCCCCTGCTGCTGCGCTTCGGGCTGCTCCCCTCGGCCCTGCGGAAGATGGCCCTAGGCATGCTCTTCAGCCTCACCTCTGTGGTTGCCGCAGGTGTGTGGGCTGGCCTGGGAGGGAGGGAGCGTACCGCCACCTATGAGTGCCAGCCTTGGCCCACGCCGAAGGGGACTGTCCGGGGGAGCCTGGGCTCGCAGAACAGGGAAACTGGAGGAGGACGGACTTTCGCTTGGGATCTGAGCCCCTCCGAGACAGGCGTGAGTGTCCCACGCCCACGTGTGCTGGAATGAGTTGCTGTAGGTGCCTGGGCTCCTCTCCCACTTCTGCATCCAAGGGATTGGAAGCTGCTTGTTTAGGAAAGGGGCAGAGCAGCTGCCTAGTGTGTGCAAGGCCCAGGGTTCTGTCCCCGGCGCTGCAAAAATAAATGAATAAAAATGTAACTGAACAAAGGCATTCATGGCAGCATACAGACCTGAGCCTTTCTGCTTAGTAGCTTTTTGAGCCTGAGGCTGGCTTCAGGCTTCTGTGTCCATCTTTAAGGGAGGGGTAGCAGTCTACGCAGACCCTGAGTGGGCCAGGCTCTGCCCTCCTGGACACAGACTAAAAGACAAGGCCTTGAGCCAGGCATGGTGGTTCACGCCTGTAATCCCAGCACTCAGGAGGCTGAGGCAGGAGGATTGCTGTGAGTTTGAGACCAGCCTGGGCTACATAAAATGGTGGTTCGCCTGTAATCCCAGCACTCAGGAGGCTGAGGCAGGAGGATTGCTGTGAGTTTGAGACCAGCCTGGGCTACATAATGAGTTCCAGGTCAGCCTCAACTACATAGTGAGACTCTGTCTCAAAAAACAAAAAAACAAAACAAAACAAAAAAGAGCACTGAAACCTCGTTCTGGCAACCAGGGCAAAAAGGGAGGAGCTGGAGCCCAGATCCTGAGCCATCCTCCAGGCCCTTTCTGGCCAGCCACCTGGCCAGGTGCCGGTTATTGGCACCGCCGATCCGTGTAATCCACACGGGCAGCACTGAGCTCTTTGCCCGGCTCCCCCACAGGGGTCCTGGAGATGGAGCGCTTACGGTATGTCCACCGCAACGAGACAGTGCCCCAGGTGATTGGGAAGGACCTGCACTGGGCCGCCCCACTTTCCATCTGGTGGCAGACCCCCCAGTACCTGCTCATCGGGATCAGTGAGATCTTTGCCAGCATCCCAGGTACGAGGCCCGCGGCTCTGCGCCATGCACGGGGAGGCAGTCAGCAGGGGACCGAGGCGCACCTGCTCCACTGGCCACTGCAACAGGCACGCAGGGCCTGGGTGGCCACGGCTCCCACGCCCACCCTGCACATGTCCTGTGTTGAGCCCCTATCTGGTGTCCGTGACTGCTGTGCCCTCTGCCTGAGGTCGAAGGTCACCTTGCATTCCCCAGCAACCGCAAGCTCAAGGTCGGAGTGCTTGGTCTTGTGTGCCCCACAGCTGGGAGCTGGAGCTGCGCACTGGGGACATAAGTAGCCCTGACTAACCCAGCAGGGCCTGGGAGGGCAGAGTCTGGCCTGAGGTGGAATCACGGATGTGGCAATGCCCCGCAGAGGGCAGGGCAGGAACAGTGCCAGCCCCGAAACAGGAAGCAGGAGTGTGGGCAGGTGCAGGGAGGGGCACGAGCCCTGAGACCCCTCTCTCCGCAGGCCTGGAGTTTGCCTATGGGGCAGCGCCGCGCACCATGCAGAGCGCCATCATGGGCATCTTCTTCTGCCTGTCAGGCGTGGGCTCCCTGCTGGGTTCCAGCCTGGTGGCCCTGCTGGCCCTGCCGGGGGGCTGGATGTACTGCCCCAGGGGCTTCGGTGAGCACAGCTGAGTCCTGGGCAGGGGGAACTAGCGGGCCGGACATGGGACTGGGCTGGGGCCCCAAGCCGGCACCATCCTCGGGCCTCAGGCTTCAGGGTCCTCAGCTCTCTATCGGGAGCACGGACCTCTGGCCACTGTGGCCAAGTGTCACTTCAACCCCGGAGTGAGCTGAGCCCCAGGTGAACAGCGCCCTTGGGGACAGACCCCGGGGCTGTTCACAGGGCTCTGTTCCCCTCGGTTCCCGGAGCCCCTGAGCCCCCTAATGCAGCCTCTCCTGCAGAGAGCAGCGACAACTGCCGCATGGACCTCTATTTCTTCCTGCTGGCCGGTGTCCAGGCCCTCACTGCTGCGCTGTTTGTGTGGATCGCGAGGCGCTATGAGAGGACGCGGCAAGGGGCGGCCTCGCGGCGTGGCCCACGCACCAACAGGAGTTGAGCTCGCCCCTGCCCCACCGGACACAGAGCAGCAGGGCCCGGCGTGGCACCTTTCCAGTTTATTCTGTACCCGACGGGGACGCCTCGGTTCCCATAAATAGGGGACTTTCCTGGACCGAGGTCTGTACAGGGGCGGGGCGGGGACCAGGCGGGGACTGGGGTTGACAAGCACCACAGGACCAGAGGGCCAGGCAGGCAGCACTGGGGCCGCACGGTCAGGAGCTGCCCCGGATGCGCTCCATGTAACTGCGCAGCTCCTCGGGGTCTTTCAGGCCCATGTCCTCGCACACCCAGCGGATGTCCTCCTCGCCGGCCACCAGGATGGACTGCACT